CCGCTCCTTACTCTCACAGTGACGGCGCCCGGGTAACCCACACCATTTCCAAGAGACAGCGGGTTTTCCACAAAAGGAGAAAGAAAAGACCGAGAAGCTACTTGAAAATAGTATAAAATCAGGAAGAAGGTTCCGTGAAGTAAAGGGAAAAGCAGGGTCTGCCTGAGACAGTGACCAGTGCATGGGCTGGACTGGGCCCGAGGGCCGGCTGTGCCACGACCGGCCACACGCCCTTGATCCGAGTTCAGTTCCATCTTCATGTACCAGCCACGTGCCCTTCTGTAAAGCCCCACACTGAACTGCCATTGAGCCGACGCTGACTCACAGGACAGGGAGGACTGCCCCCATGGGTTTCAGAGGCTGTCCACCTTCCTGTGAGCAGACAGTAGCCTCATCTTTCTCCCAAGGAGAGGCTGGTGGAGCCCAACTGCTGGCCTTGCTGCTAGCAGCCCAACACCCAGGCTGCTGCATGTCCTGGGAGACTGCAGGCCAACTGCAGCCTGACAGCTATAAATGGATCCAATTAGAATGGCCTCTGACGGAAAGCGTGAGGCTCCGAGCAGACATGTTTAAAGTAGGTGCTCAGAAGTAATAGTAGCGATTAGCATTATTGATAGGCTGTTCTAATCATTTCTTCAAGTTGAAGAGCATTAGACTGCCTGTTGAAATTAAAAAAAGAAAATGGAAGGAAACTCAAAATCATAAGCGAGACCAGGCTGCCTGGTCGGATAGAGATGGGTGCTTCCCTGGGACTGTGGCCCTCTATCAACCCTTCAGGCTTAGAATTGAACTCACCCTGTGTCTCCATTTTCAGCTAACAATAGGCAGGTCCATTGGGGACAGTGTCACCAAGGAAGTGCCCCCTCCTTATATAAGGGGGTGGGAAGCCTTTTTTCTGCCAGGGCCATTTGGATATTTATAACATCATTCATGGGCCATCCTGGCCAAACCTCTCATTCACTCAGCCTTCATGTGTTGGCAAGGAGCCCTGGTGTGGCGGAGTGATGTAGTGATTGCACATGGAGCTTCTAACCTCAAGGTCAGCAGTTCAAAACCACCAGCCACTCCTTGGGAGACAGATGAGGCTGTAAAGAGTTACAGTCTCAGAACCTCACACAGGCAGTTCTACTCTCCTACAGAGTCACTATCAGTTGGAGTCAACTTGATGGTGGTGAGTTGCATTTTTTCCCCTTTAGTGCGATGGCTGGAACGGCTTCTCTTTGGTGAGGCGTGTGATGTTAGCTGGTAGCGATTTCTCAGACCTTACACAGTCCTCGGGCCAGATGTTCTCCACCTGTGGTTGCTACATAATTTCAAGTCAACTTGATACATAGTGTAGGGGTGGAGTCCAGCCTGTCAATCAGGTCACAGCCTGACCATGCCTCCTTGTGGGGTGGCCTTCTCAGGAGCATTCTCAGACTTCCTCTCTCTCTCCCTTGAGGCTGGCCACACCCCCTGTCTCTGCTTCCACCCTCCTGTTCAGAAACCACATGGAGTCGTGCTGAGATTTGTGAGAGCCCTGGAGATGCTTCCACCACCACTGGATCCACAAGGCTTTGCACCCACTGGCCTCTGATCATCCTGCGCTATGCCTCATTGCTTGTGGCTGCGTGAGTCTAAAGAGGGATTCAGGGACTAGTATTGGACTTATGGGCTACTATCAGACATATGGATTTGATCTGGACTGGGATGTTTTTTCATCTACAATTACTACTCTTTGGTAGCAATCTCTTCCTTACACATAGATGAGTGTCCCTGGACTTGTTTCTCTAGTCAGCCTGGACTCGCACACCACCCCTGCCTGGGAATAATCAAAAGAGCAGCATTGACCTTGGACCAAGTTCAGAAGGTGAGGAAAGTAGGGGGTGAGGAAAAGGGATGCCCAAGGAGAAAGTGGGGTGAGTGAAGGTCCAATGAGAGGCTCACAATCCCCGACCTGAAACAAACGTGGGCGCACCGCTGAATGGAAAACCAATCTGCTCTGGGAACCTTCACCCCATTCCCAATTAACACTTAAAACCAAGGCATCTGATTCGAAAGTGGCTGCTCGCGTGTTTAAGGTCCTGAGAGGGTATTAAAGTGGGGAGGGGTGGTGATGAGATGCTCCCTCGCCCGTGTGGTGAGGGTGCGGGCACGCCCCTGTGCTAGAGAAGGACCTCCAGCAACCACAGGGTCAGAGCAGGCTGGGAAGCAAACCCCAAGTCTCACCAGGTGCGCAAGGCTCAGGGCTCAAGTTGCACCTGGGGTGGCGCAGCACTAACTGGAAACCCTATGATTCCTGCTTGCCCACCCCTGGGTGGGGGTAGGTGCACAAGGGCCCTTCCATTTGCAGACACACACTGAGCTTCCTCCCAGGTGGAGAGCAATCTCACTCCGAGTGATGTATAAACTCGGGGCGCCAACCCAGCATAGCCTGAGTGATGATCTCCGACACAGCAGGTGCTTAATACGTGTGCGCTGATGATGAGCTGGAAAATATGAAACTAAAGGACCTTGCTCGAGTGTAAATAGCCATAATCAGCCTCATCTCATCTACTGAAAAAAAAGAAAGAAAAAGGTAGCCTGGCAGATTGTTCCACTGAGATTGGAAATTCATCAATAGCTCCATGGTTGCAAGCAGGCCGTTTGTCTGATGTGACAGTAAGCGCTAAGTGAAGGCACACCAGCTTCTCCACATTAGCTTGCTAAGAAGGGACCGTCCTCAGCAGGCATTTCCAAGTCGGAGAGACCTGAGCCAACACACCAAAGCTTATACATACGGTGATTCCCTGTTTTAACTGACGTCCTGCAGTCTCGGGGATGGAGCGGGGCCACGCGTGGACACAGGTAGGCGGTTATTGACGACAAAGTTAATATATTACTTCCACGGTGCGTTTTGCTCCCTCAGAGTCTGAATGGAAGACGAAGTCAAACCCCTCTTTGCCTAGAACCAACCCTCTCACCCCATCGATCCCAACTGGGCCCAACTGGCTTCCAACAATGCTAGGGGCCTACAAGTGGCTCTTGACTCAGAGAGACCCAATGGCAACAGAAGAAAACACTGCCCGCTCCTCCACCATGCCCGCCATGCCCGCCATGCTCACCATGCCCGCCATGCTCACCATGCCCGCCATGGTGTTACATGTGAGCCCAGTGTGGCAGGCCCTGTGGCCACCCATCTCCTTAAGGTTCCTCTTCTTCCCTGCCCTTTGCTTCCCCACCACGGTGACCTTCATCAGGGCCTCCTGCCATCCTCACTTCTAAGGAGCATTCAGACTGTACTTCTTCCGGGACAGATTTGCTTGCTCGGCTGGTGGTCCATGGTTCCAACAGTGGTCCTCTGGACTATTCATACAGGGCTGTATCCTAACAGGCGCCCTGTCTGTCAGCATGACAGTCTCGGAGAGAAGGAGACACTGACCCTTCTTTGTCTCGCCCAAACTCAAGAGGCTAAATCTATTATAACTGGACTCCACATAATGTTGGATGCCGACGTGACTTTTAGTGAAATAAAGCAAGATGTGCACCCGTCACCCTATCTTCTGTCACAATGGCATCGTTTGAATTGTAAAAGGAGCCCTGGTGGCACAGTGGGCTATGCGCTGGGTTTCTCGTACATCCTAGTGGTCATTTAAATACTCCTTTAGTGTACTGGGGGGGCACTGGTGGTCATTTAAATACTCCTTTAGTGTACTGGGGGGGGCACTGGTGGTCGTTTACATACTCCTTTAGTGTACTTGGGGGGCACTGGTGGTCGTTTACATACTCCTTTAGTGTACTTGGGGGGGCACTGGTGATGTGGTGGTTACGCACTGGGCTGCTAACCGAAAGATCAGTGGTTCGAAACCGCCAGCCCAGTTGAAGGGGAAAGGCCGGGCTCTCGATGCCTGAGTGACACCTGGGCAACACTTAGGGGTCAGTCCTGCCCTGTCCTGCAGGGTCTTTCTGAGTCGGCGTTGACTCAGTGGCAGGGAGGAGAGATTTCTGAAGTATGGCTTCTAGATATTGTCATTTTTTCTCTCGTTTCCAATGACCCAAACAGGAAAATCTAGATGAAAATGTGAAGAACATGCCAGGTCCAAGCAGGTGGCTGTATGGTGACATTAATCTTAGAAAGGGGACCCCACGGGGGGGCGGGGGGCAGATAGGGCAGAAAGCCATTGTGCTCCTCCAAACGACTTGTCCACCGGCCGCTGCCCTTCCCCTGGAAGGCAGAGGACCTCTGTGAACGAGGTAGCACATCGCTCTCTGCAGACGCTCGTTAGGAAGCGCCGGTTCTGGCCGGGGACAAAGGCCTGGAAGTGGGGTAGGCAAGAACACCTTGAAAGAATGCTTAACTAATCACGAAGCACGATCCTGCAATGGGTGGGCGAACCCCTAATTAGACAGAGGGAAATGAAGCTGTCATGGTCGGATAAGAGGATAAAGAGAAATCAGCAGTAATTACTGTTTTATCGTCAGAGAAGTAGTATCAAGCGAGGCCCAATAATAAGGGGAGGAAAGGAAAAAGACACACGCGCGTGCGCACACACACACACCCCCCATAAAGAATGAGAGAGAGAAATCCAACCCACAGTTCTCTAAACAAACACCAGCACTCATTAAATTAGTACTCGGCGCAAAACAAACTCAGAGTCCAACAATGGGACCCAGAAAATGCATCGCAGACCCCCCAAAAATCCCCACGGAAACCAGAGTGGAGGGAGTAGAAAGGTCATTAGTTTTAGTCACTCCCCTGATGAAGAACTTAAGAAAATGGCCATTTTCTGTCGTGGCTTAAACATTCCCACGCCAAACCCACTGTCCAGTCCATTCCGATTCACGGCGAATGAATACTTTAAACATTCATTAATTTAAAAAATCATAAAATTGAAAGCTAAATGTCCAGGTTGGTATAAAACAGCGTCTTATTCGGGGGCGAGGTCACCCTTTCCAAGGCCTACAGAGGCTTCTGTTACTACGCAGGGGGTGTCGGTCACGGACGGAACCCAATTCCAACTCGACGTGGGGGATCAACTTACATCCTGCTGCTCGGAATGATCTTCTGTCCTTCACGAAACCAAGTCACCTGGGGTGCAGGGTGGCTGGCGATGGGTGCTAGGTTCAGCACAGCTGCACGGCCGGTAGACACCGTCTCCCTCTGCTCTGTCTCCGTGAAACTCCCCATGTCTGTGGAGAGAAACGAGGCCTCCTGAGTTTCGGGACGCCTGTCCATTGGGGGGTGGCGCTGGGCGGAGCCCACTGATGTACTCAATACCGCGTCCCTGACGGAGGAGCCGTGGAGACAGAGCTGGTCTCCCTGAGCAGCTGGACTGAGGACTGCGGATGCTCTAGGAAGGGAAACAGGAAATAGAGGCTTGCTCTGCCCTGTCCGTCCCCAAAGGAGCCCCCAAGGCTCACATCAGCAGCACCCCTGGGCCCCCTGGACAGCTGGTTCGGAAATAAGTGGGTGGAGAACGTCTCGGGTCCAGGAGGCTAGGGTTTTGGATGGAGCTCCTGCTGGGTCCCATGACCCCACATCCTGGCTCACTTTCTCCTTCCCTCCGTTTCTAGGGCTGGCTGCTTAGTAAGGGGCCCTGGTGGCAATGGAGGATAAGCACTGGGCAGCCGTCTGCGAGGTTGGCCGTTCAAACCCACCAGCTGTTCTATGGGAGAATGATGAGGCTGTGTGCTCCCATAAAGACGTACAGTCTCAGAAACCCAGGGGGCAGTTCTCCAGGGTCTCATGAATGAGAAGCAATTGGACAGCAGTGGGTTGGGTTGGGAGAAAAAGTCCCCATCTTTCTCCCACATAAAGCTGCTGGTGAGTTTGAAGTGGCCCCCTTTGGGTTCATTGCTGAGGTCCCTGCCAGGGCTCCTTGCCCAATGCTCTGTCCGCACCCACTGCCAGCAACCGGGTTCCCACTCACAGTGACCCCTAGAGAGGGTTTCCGACACTGTAAGTCTATACAGGAGCAGAGAGCCTCACCTTCCTCCCAACGAGCAGCTGGTGGGTTTGAACCACCGACCTTGTGGTTATCCACCTAGCATCTAACCCACAGTGCCACCAGGGCTCCAGCATGAGCAGAGTCAGGACTTAAATACAAGAGTCAGTCAAAGAAAGTACTGCTGAAACATCCTGTCAGCTCACTGTCATGGGGGGCGGTGGGGGGATCCTGCCTTGCAGAGGCTCAACAGGGTGGAACTGGCCCTGGGGGTTTCCAAGACCATAACTCTCCATGGGAGGAGAAAGCCTCCTCTTTCTTTCTAGGAGCGGCTGGTGATTTTGAACTGCCAACCTTGAGGTTCATCAACCTCATGTGTGAGCCATTGCACCCTCCTGAGCAGAAACGTTTCTTAAACAAAACGATCAGAACGTCAATTCACTGTGTCTCAGGAGAGCCACCATCCAGGTCTACACACATCGACGTGGAGCTTTCATCTCTCACTTTTCCCCCAAAGAGCCGGCGCTCCTGATGGACACACGGGCCGAGGCGGCAGTCTGGGTTTCCTGGAGAGACGCGGCGGTGACCCTTCCCGATGCTCTTCTGAGTCGTGAGCAAGAGTCTGAGGGGCGAGGTCAGGGCTGGAGGGTGGAGGGGGTCAGGCTTCCCGGGGTGCAAGAGTCCCCTAGAATGGCCCTTGCTCCCCTCTGACAATGAGCATGTGTGTGTGGTGATAGAAAATAAAACAAAAAGCCTCAGCACAACGTTCCTGGTCTTTTCAACTCTCGTCTCATTTCTTCATAAGGAACCCCAAGATTTCTCCGTGTCCTCAGAGGAAGCCGATCAAAATGCACCCTTTGAATCCAATCAAAAGCAGTCACCATCTTCTGAGCTCACTTCTCTGCCTGGAGGTGAACGAGCCCCCCCAGGTCCAACTGTCTGGGTTGGATTTTTTTTTAAGCCCCTACTGAGGAGACTAAGACCAGTTTATTGCAGAGAGAGCGTGTCTGCAGCACGGCATTGCCGGCAGGACTTGCCCCGCACCTTTCATTGGGAACAGACCCCGAATGTAGACTGGAACTCTGGCAGTTACCTTGTGGGATCCACCCTCGTAATATCTGTTATCTGTCGATAACAACTGTCAGTGTGCTTTGAAATACCTGTGGTTATCTCCCCATTAAGGGAAATGTGTTGTCCAACACCTGTGGTTATTTTTAAGCAAAAGGGGGTTTCTTATCCAAAGGAAGGCGAGAAGAGAAAAATCCCAGAGCTAGAGCAGAGAAACAAGGCTATTAAACAAACATTAGAGAAATGTCCAAAGCAATCGTACAAGCCAGAATTTAATATATTCTAGTACATTCCAAGCTGTTCACATATTCAAATATGTTTTGAGTATTGATCTGCAGCTATGCTTGTTGGTTAATTACCTTTTCAATTATTCAGTTGAATAAAAGTTCCAGATTCTGCGGACAGATTTAGCTGAGGGACTTAACAGTTCAGAAGAATGGAAAGCTTCGTGGTGGCTTAAAAGGGCCACGGCACATGCACAGTCCCACCTGCACCTCACTCAGCCACCAGAGGTAACCCTGGGAAGAGAGCGTGCGTGGACACGATCCTATGGGACGTAAAACCCCACTGCCGCCATCCAGCGGATGCAACTCACGGAGACCCTACAGGACACGGCAGAACTGCCCCTGCGGATTCTGAAGGCTCTAGCTCTTGATGGGAACAGGCAGGCTCATCTTTTTCTCTCAGAGCACTTGGTGGTTTCGAACTGCTGACTTGCAGTTAGCAGCCCAATGCCTTGGCACTATGCTACCAGGACTCCTATTTTATATGGGGTCAAAGAGAACAACAGGTCTTCCCCTCGGTGTAGGAGCTCGGGTGGGTTCTCTGAACTCTTCCAGGAACCGTCTCAAGACGTTCGACTAGAACGCTCAATTCCACCCACTTACTGTTCATTTGCTGACTTCACTTGCAGAATGGAATCAAGTGTATGCCCATCTCAGTGTGGGGCTGCGTTTCCCAAGTGTGGGGTTTGACCAGGGCTCAGTGTTTTGTGTTGGACACACCCCTCTATTTTAGCCCCCAGACGCACACTCCACACATTTTACATTTTTGCCAGCCTCTGGGGGTGTGGCGGGGGGGGGGCCTGAAAAAGTGTGTGGAAGAACGCCGTGCCTCTCCCCTGTACCCTCCCACCCCCTTTCCGCAGGCCCTCAGTGCGCGGAGGTGGAGAGGTGGGGTACAACGGCGGGGTTTGCATGTTGGGGTGCCATCCACAAACTCAGCAGTTTGGAACCTCCAGATGCTCCTCAGGAGAAAGAGGGGGCTTCCTGCCCCCACAAAAAGCGACAGTCTCAGGCTCACAGGGCCAGGTCCCTGTCCTGCAGAGTTGCTGTGAGTTGGCATCCATTCCTGGTGATGAGTTTGTTTGTAGCCCTGGCATAGCGCTTGGCAAACATGGGTAGGGTGCACGTCACATGTGTAAACATAGGGTCCTCGGGGGCAGGGCCTGAGGAACGGAGTAACATGTCTGAAGAAGAGAAAACATGGCTCCATGAAACTCAAGCCCCTGCATTTCTGCAACCGGGGTAAAGCTTTGTGCCTTTCACCCGGAGAACAAGCCAGATCTCTGGGCAACTGTGGCCATCGGAGGGCTTTCCTCCCCGGGGCCCCTTTGGGTGCAGCTAAGAGACTGCTGAGCAAATCGCCTTGGGAAAGAACAGGCTACGGGCTGAGGGCCTTTCAAATGGCGGCCTTTAATGATTTTCGTGGGTAACCTTTACAGAGAAGAAGATTAAAACACAAATGCTCATACCCAAGGGAACAGACTTGGGAGGTGACCAAGTGGGGAAGGCAAAAGAGGGAAGAAGAGATGTTGAAAAAAGGGCTGGTGGGGGCAGGGAAGGGGTTACAGGTATTAATGTGGGTGAGGGGAGAGATGGTCTTTCACAAACGGGAGCAAAGAAATCAAAGGCCAGGGAGGGGTGATAGGGAACCTCTTGGGTGATTTGATAAATTGTTTCAAGTGTTGAACACAAACTGGAAGGTCTGAAAGGTAACATCCCCACCTAACTCACAATTTTAAAAATGGTTTTTTGTTTTTTTAATTGAAAAAAAACCACTTGGAATTTGAACTCAACAAGAGGAGACGGCCGCTGAGTGGAGAACTCCGCGGGTCGTGTCCCCTTTTGCTTGGATGGGCCACCTGTTTCAGAGGGCTCTTCTCTGCGGGACAAAAACACAGAAACACAGGGCATCCGCTTCATGCGGCCCATTGCGTAATCGGCCAAAGTAGCGGCTCCTTCATCTGTCTCGGCCAGCTCTGACTAGGCAGTGCCTGCGCTCCAGACGGAAGGAACGCGAGGAACTCAACCGCTTTCCGACAGTTGGAGGTGACTTCCTTTAGCCCCCACCCCCACCGCGCAGGCGTCTGGCTGCATTGCCAAGCACCCACATGGCCTGGTTTCACGGACACGTACATGCAACCTGGACCTCAGATCGCCTCCGCAGCAGGGCTCCCATTCTGTTTCGCACCACGCAGCGGTAAAAGCCGGTGTCGAGCCTCTGCAGAGACGGGATGATGTACCTGCCAAAGATCAAAGGGAGAGTGGGTCAGTGGCCACGTCCCAAGCTCCGCCCGGCGTCTCCCCGAGGGGATGCACTGGGAATTTGCCCCTGCTGCACTAGGCTGCCGCTTGCTGGCCACTATGTGGAACCAGTTATCGGACTCCTCCCACTCAACTCCGCATGCCACGGAGTTAGTGTCCACACAGGCTTTACTTGCCGCGGTGCACACTCTGGACCTCGCTCGCTGGGTCTCTGAGGCGCTGTTCTAATTTCAGATCGTGATATGCAAGTAAGACCGTCCAGTGATTAATTCCATTGGTCCTGGAGGAAGTGGGGCCAGAGTGCTCCTGAGAGGCAAGGATGGTCAGGACTTGGGGCCGTTATCAGGAGCGACGGGTCCCTGGAGAAGGACGTCGTGCTTGGTCAAGTGCAGGGAGGAGCAAACAGAGCAAGGCCCTCAATGAGATGGATGGACACAGTGGACACAGTGGCTGCAACAATGGGCTCAAGGCTAGGAACGGCTGTGAAGACGGCACCAGACCGGGCGGCGTGCCATTCTGTTGGGCGTGGGATCTGAGCTGACTGTGGGTGAGGGCGGACGTCCTGGAGCCTGCCCACAACTCCGTTCACCAGCTGGCCCTTCCGTCAACAACCCCACCTCAAGGTGACCCCAAAGGGTTCAAAGGAGAGCCTGGCTCCCCGGGTTTTCAAGGCTGGTTTTTTCAGAAATGGGCCACGGTATTTTTTTTCATCCAAGTACCTCTGGGGGGTCTTGAACCCTCAAACTCTCAACTGACAGCCAAGTGCATGCACCACGTGCACCACCCAGAGTCTCCTCCAGCTCTGAAGAGCCTGCTAAGTGCCCAAAATGATTTCTAGAACAGGCAACAAAGTCTAAGACTGAGGGGTCAAGACACTGTGTGAAAGTCCGAACAATACTTTAAGAATCATGTTTAGATGCCACTAAAGGCAGAGAAAGCAATGACGTCAGGACAGAGTTCTCCCTGCTCACTGGTACAGACACTCCGGATGTTAGGTAGGTCCCCCCTTCTTCGCTGCGGCACGCACGTCCGGAAATCGACTTCCAAAGCGACTCTGGAGGCCTGGAAAGCGGGTCACTTGTATTCCCAGTCCTGTGTCGGAATGCTGAGCCGAGGCCGGAGGGAGCCTGAGCACCCACCAAGAGGCAGGCGCTCCTACAGAACGAGGGCTGCTGGGAGGTTTAACAACGGAAAAGGTGGGTGCCAGTGTGGTAGCCTTGGGGCATACACATCCAATCTGTCTGCTGACAAGTCATCCAAGAAGCTGAACCATAGGAAGTGAACCCCGACGGGGCGTCAGGGCTGGTGGAACACTCGTTCACAACCGGCAACGTGCAGAGGGCACCGCTCAGAGCGAGGACGACTGGCCACGTGGCCGCAGCATGGATTGCATGCCCCCAACGCACAGACCACGGAAATCCTCACAGCTGGACCGATAGAGCAATGATTGGATCCACAATCAACACCAATGGGAACAGTAATCGAGCAGTGTGCTGCAGCGAGACAGGGAGTGAAGACAAATATCAAAACCTGAAAAACCTCCTTAAATTGTTGAAGATCAGCGGTGTCACTTTCAGGACTAAGTACACCTGACTCCAACCTCTGGTCCTTTCAATGGCCCCCTCGGCATGGGAAGTGCAAAGGCGCGTAAGAGAGAGCCAAGAAGGATGGAGGCCTTGGAGTAGTTAGGGTGTTGGGGCAGAATGTGAAGGAGGAAACCGGGCTTGTGAACGGCCCGCCAGATGCTCCTTGGAAGTGAGGCTGGTGGGACTGCCTCTCACATACATACAGGAAGGACCCGTTTCTGGAGAAGGGCGCGTGTGTGATGAAGTAGAGGGTCGGAACAAACAGAAGAAGACCTCCACAAGACGAGGATCAGCGGCTACAACGTCCATCAGCACCGATGGCGAGCACGCGCAGGACTGGGCGATGCCGCCTTCCGCTGCACACGGAACCAATCAGAAGAAGACACAACGAGCCCCGGCCACAAACACCTCAAGAGGGAAACGGGGCGAGTGCGAGGCTGGGATTCTGCCAGCGCAGAGACTAAGAGGTCAGCCCACTCAGACGGCCGCCTCGTCTCTGCAAACGGACGGAAGGAGACGTGGTGAGGTAGCCTTCAGAAAAAAGGTGTTCTGGGCAGTGATCTACAATTGAAACACGGAGAGACCGCGGGACAAAATCAGAGAAACTTCTTAAATGTCAGGTAGAGGCCCACGTATAGTCTCTAGTAGGTTTTACCTGCTCATTTCCTGAGTGCACCCTGAAATCACTGATACCCAGCTAATTGCTCGTCTTTTTCACTCAAGTACATCCAATTAGTCCACCCCCAAAAGAACCTGGTAGGCACTATTTCTGAGTGGACAAAACCTTTGGACAGTACCGGCAATTCTACATGAAGCAAATATTAATCAAAGTGTGTTCCCCCGGCTGACCTTCTTGAATTCCTGTGGTGGAATTAATAAGAGCTTCGTGGAAAGGGAAAAATTAATAGTGCTGAGTGCTCCTCTTTGAAACTGTACGCCCGTAGCGGAGGATGAGTTCAACCCTGACAACCAACCAAAATAATAATAATAATAATTGGTATAGGTAATCAGAATCATATCCAGTTGAACACAAGGAGTCAATGCCAGGCATGTAAATTACCAATCAAGACTCGGGGGTGAGCTGCCTTGATTATTCTATACTGTAATTATGATAAAGACGCGCCTTGAGGTCAGGTGACGACAAAGTCAGCGAGAGGTTCAGGAAACGCAGAGTCACAAGCCAGAGGCACGGAGGCTTAAAAGAGGCCAAGGGCATTTGCTTCGCTGCAAAGCAACCTCCTGCAAAACTCCCCTGAAGCAAGTCGATTCTGACTCACAGCGATCCTGTTGGACAGGGCAGAACTGCCCCTGTGGGTTTCTGAGACCCTAAGTCTTTACAGGAGCAGACAGCCTCTTCTTTCTCCCACATCACACACAATGGGGGGAAAGGTGCTTCAAAAGGTTCTTAAGAAATATAAAAGATGAAGATATTTTCCCCAGGATCTTTGGAAGTCTCCTTTCTCAACTGCTGTTCCTGTTACTATTTCCTGGTGTTTTTTTTTCTTTTTTGGCTAGATCCTGAACAGATTTTAAGTTCTTATGAATTCCCAGCATCATTCTGCATATAAATCCACAAAAACAGCCCTGCTTTCAAACAACAGGCAGACACAGGCACAGAAGCTGAATCAGGCATATGCTGTTTTCTGCTATCTTGTCTGTCTAATGTCTCACGGGCGGGGCACGGGCTGGTGTATAAAGGTTTGCAAGCTTCCTCCACCTACGATGGGCCTTGCTGCACACATGGTGCTCACCTAACAGATGGGACTAGTCATGGTGAGCCTATTGTTTATAAACACACATTGTCAGGCAGAGGGAGTATCTTGGCCCTTTGTAGGAAAGTATGATAAAATCTCAGCACCATATGCCACTAGAACACAAACGATGCCTGCTCCTATCTTAAATAAACAAAGCAGGAAATGTTTGTAGTTCACGGGCCAAGCCAGCACCCCACTGGAGACACAACACGGTTCCCAGCTGCAGTTTACCAGTAGCGCGGCCCACCATGGCATGGATTCCGGCTCAGAACGACCCTGTGGGACAGTTTCCGGGACGGAAACTCTTTCCAGGAGTGGAGCGGCTCGTCTTTATCCTGAGGAGCAGCTAGTTGCTAACTGCTGGCCTTGTGGCTGTTTTTGGTGAGAAGGAAAACCAGTTCTGAGCTGGCCCTGTGAACTGGAGCACATTTCTCTAGGAAAGGTCCGCGGGTGTGTGGCTAGCCCCAGGGTGGACAGAGGGCATTTTTGCCAGCCTGGGGTGCTGGGACCTGAGCCACACCTTACCCTGGGGAGTCTTCCTGCCCCGTGGGTCTCAGTGGAGGCCAGTGTTTATGCCCAGTTAAAGGCTGGCAAGTCCACCTGCAGGTACCCCTGGACACTGGGCACCGTGAACACACATGGGCGACACAGGTGATCAGGATGGCTAATTCTGCACCTGGGGGTACAAAGCAAGTGGGGAACTCAAGTGGTGGGGAGACAGTGGATGGGGGACAGTGGAGTGAGGGGCAGCAGGCTGGTGTGAGTGTGTCCAAGGTCAACTCTGGTAGTGGCTCAAGGAGGGATATCCAAAGTCCTACAGGGTCAGTAATCAGGCCCTCACAAGACTGATTCTGCAAGGGAGTTGTGTGTCTGGTGGAGGAGTGGAATTCTGCTTCTGCTCAAGCTCCAGGGAGTCTCTCGATTCCCAGAGAATCAATATCCATTCAAGATGCACTCAACGTCCATTCAAGATCCACTCAACGTCCATTCAAGATCTACTCAACGTCCATTCAAGATCCACTCAACGTCCATTCAAGATCCACTCAACGTCCATTCAAGATCCACTCAACAGCCATCAGATGCAGTCAAACTCCACTCAGCGTACATCCCATCTCTATTCAACATCCTCTTTGTTTGTTTGCTAGTGTTTGAATCTGTGGCTTATAGTTAGGACCTCTCACTGACACAGTTAGCAGGGACGGTGCCTGAAGGACATCCTGCTTGGTGAAATGCAGGCTCAGAAAGCGGAAAGAAAGAAGACCTTCAACAGGAGGGACTGACACCGTGGCTGCAACAATGGTGTCAAACTTAGCAATAAGGATGTGTGGATGGTGCAGGACTGGGGTGGGGGGTTCCTTTCTATTGTACTGGGGGTCAGTATGTGTTTGGGCTAACTCGACAGCAGCTAGCAACAACAACAACCACAACTACTAATGATACAACTGAGACAGCACTCACTCGCTTATGGCCATCGAGTTGATGCTGACTCACAGAGACCCAACAGGATAGGGCAGAATTGCCCCTACAGGTCTCTGAGACTGTAACTCTTTATGGGCGTAGAAAGCCTCCTCTTTTTCCCAAGGAGCAGCTGGTGGTTTTGAACTGTTGACCTTGCAGTTAGCAGCCCATAGTGCTACC